GTAGGCGAGATGATTAGTGGGAATACCGTGTAGACTCCTTAAATAATTATAGTTGGAAGCAAAGAAATTTTGTTAACCGGTGCTCTAATGCAAGGTTATTCTGGGATTTACACAAGATCTAAATTATCGTATAGAAATGGGATCAAGAGAAAGACTTGTAGCTGAACTAAAAAAAGAAGAGTGAAGAAAACCCTTGACCGGGGTTTTCAAGTTGTCATGTATTGTAAGAGAAAACTACCATGATCTCTCATGATAGGTCGTCTCATTTGGGACATTTACACACCAATGTTCGTAGTTTCTAAAACAAATCCCAAGAGTTGTGGGTGTCAGTGGACAAATCAAAGCCACTCATAACATTTTATGACTGTGACATCACTCCAGAGCTATCGGGTACACCGAAAAGTGGATAGTCTTTACATACTTTTGGAACAATATGCTTACACGTTCGTTCATTTGTGAGTCTCATGAAAGCAGGACATGAAAAGTCATTAGGTGTGAACTTTCGAATGTTGTATATTTATACTTGGTGCTATCTACATTAGTCCAATCTGCTCAGTCGATGATTTCACTTTAGAGCACATGAATTCGTACAGTAAAAATAACCGGCGCCTGATATTAGGCTTCAGTGTACTTGATATAAATTGAAAGAAGCATCCGCTGTAAAATCTGACAACATATTTGATGAAAGGCTCCATATGACTGTCATAGAGCATGCTGTAGTGCAGCATGTATCCAAACCCACACAGTTTTGTTCAAACCAAGGATTTTCTTTGTTGGATCTAGTAATCACTCATGAAACGAAGGATACTACATGTCAAGATACTTTCCCACCGTTAAGGTCATGATTTTTAATCATTCGGGTTCTTAACTTATGACAGTCTATAACCAGGTTCGTCCTCTCTCAAATCTGTAGAGAGCAAACATTTCGGCCATCAAGGAGTGTGCTGTGGCGGAATAGTCGGTTATTACTAGCTCGTCAATTTGAGTCATGGTTTATGCTTACAGATACACTTAGTTCAATTACTTCTCCATTTATACCATGCTTAAAACTACATAGATCTAACACTTATCCACTATGAATAACTAAGGGGGTCAATAAACCCAGACGTAGGAAGGGACATCGGAATATGCCCCCAAATACCTTGGTACGTCCGAGAGTGTGGTGAGTCAGATCTCCCTCTCAAAATGCCCTCATATGGCCGTGCGTATACAACCATTGCCTTTTCGCGACGGGGGTGTTGTTTACGAAATTGAGGGGACGAAAAGCGAATGTCCGGTGTTTTAACCGGGTTGGTGGACACAGGTGATTCAATTAGGGGAGTTGGAAAACCCTGATTTCAAAAAAGTAGTGCACATGAGCTCCAGGATTCTGAAGGAACAAATGGTGTATGAACCTATTGTCGGTCATCGGCTGCCATGAGATTGGATCATCTAACGTTGCTCTACTGCCTTGTGGATTAGACCTCTAGGTCAAAAGCTCGGGGAGTGGCTCCCTAAGAAAACCACTTGTTTTTTTCCGGACGCCCGGATAGTATACCAGCCCACACACAAGTCGAATGGCGAAATGTGTCGCATATGTATTCGACGCCGCCTTGTACCAGTGTTTATGTGTTTAAATAAATGAAATCAAGATCTGCTTAGTTAGTATTCACTTACTGTAAAACTAGAAACGTATACAAAGCGTTAATAAGTAAAGCTAGATTATCGTTCGAGAAACAACTGATTTGAGGTTCTAAAATTAGTCCCAAAAGTTGTGCTCGTACACGGAGACAAACTCAGAAAAGTGACGGAGTTCTGCCACTTCTGTTATAGGAAGATCCACTGACATAGTCAAGTAATGGTGTTGCCAAAGGTGGAGCCTTGTCAAAATAAGTAATGCATTTCCTCTCAATGATAGTAAGAGATTAATTACTAACCTGAACAGTGGCGTTTTGTGGATGGAAAAGAGAGTTATCCTTCGACAACTATCTCATAAACAGATAAGTCCTGTGGTCTCGATAATATCCATCTTTAAATCATGGGAGCTCTGCAGTAATATGGTTTCTGATGTATTAGCAAGGCTGATCTGCATGTTTATGAAGTAGTTAAATTGTCGAAACTGGAAGAATGCAATAATTATTTCGGCCTATAAGGCCGGAAATAAACTTTTGATTAGTAGCTATTGCTCGATAACCCTAATTAAAAACATAGTAAAATTGATTATTCAGCCTGATGTTCTACGTCATACAGATGGGAATAATCGTTTAACGAAGAAATAATATGGTTTTGGAGCAGATCTTTCATGTTTGGCTAATGCCGTTATTGGAAGAAAAAGTGAACCGCAGCAAAATTCTGTAGCATCTCAGTAGATGTAGTTTTCGTAGGCTAAAGGATTTCAGAATCAGTTATGAAGTTAGAGATAGGATAATTGACTTCCTCAGTAATAAGAAACAACAAGTAAAGGTAAACAGTATTCTATCATCATGGAAATATATGGGCGGTGGGGTTAGGAGTAAGTTTTAGCAAGAGTGTGGTAATATAAGTCAGTCCTCGAGGATTTACATGACTTCACAGTAAATTAGATTGCTTTATTTGGAGTTATTGGTCATGATGATTTAAGAGTCATAGTAATGACCGTAGATTGCCCGGTAATTATGAGGTGGCCTCCTCCAAAGCCTTACCAGTCTTGAGTCATTTGTAAGTCATTTTGCAATTCAGATGAAGTGTTCAGAATACTATATTTGGCGTATATGGGACCGCATCTAGAACATGCGATTCGCGAAACAAAATCTTGTTTCATATACAAACTAGATATAATTGAAAGGGTTCAACAACTTGAAACGTAAATCTCGAAAGGTTATTCTAGCCTGCTTTATAAATGTTAACTGAAATGCTCTATCCTAGTTCCGTTTCCCGTGCACTGAATGATGATTTTTTTACCAATGTCTTATATTTTTATCCAACATAGAACTGATCATCTGAGAGGACATTTTCAGAAGGGTCAAAAAGCAAGATCAAACCGGTTACATCTGGAATTCCGTTCCGTTCACTGAGTTGTAAGTTTCTGTAATTGTCTACCCGAATACGTAGTATCAGCATCTGTTCATACATCTAAAGATATTGGGTCTTCACAGTACTGGAAGTCACGAGGATTAAACTTCTGTCCTTAACTTTGAAGACATTCCTTTATACTTTGGAACAGTTTTGAAGCACCGGTTGTTTAACTTATGGTGTAAATCAAGTGCTTTTTGTACAGGTAATATTTGACTCGAGGTCTTACACTTTATTGATACATACAATAGCTATTCTTTTTTTATGACTTAGTGATTTCCCCTGGGGAGCCTATCAGTATTCAGAATGTTTAACCAACTTGTGACAAAACAATCTGTCCTGTTATTCAAGTGTTTATTATTGTTTTATTGCTCATCGGATGATGGATTGGCGACTAGGCTCGCCAAGGAACAGATATTTTTTTACTTAAATCCCTTCGTTTTCTAAATCGTTTTAATTTTACCCACCTACGTTAGGTTGGTTACTTAACTCCCCTCAAAATAATAAAAAGTTGCTCGACCCCCCATTTTCTCGTGCAAAGTTTGTAGCTCAATTATCACTGCCCTGAAAGGCTGACACTAAGTTCTGTCTGTTTTGGTTACTTTCTCACAAAATTATCTTCGTACGTTCTCCACTGCCTTTTAGATAATTTCATTTTATCTTGCTTAAATTCGTTATAATTTCAAATCAACCTTAATAGTGGTAATGTTACAGCTTTATACATAAAAATATTCTCATCAAAATATTGTCTGTGTTTGTGAACATTCTTGTATTAAAATTGGTTGTTATTGCTTGTTGTAGGTATTTAGGGACTAGAGACAATCAACCAAAGATTTTTGGTGCTATTTGTGTTATGAATGTTTTGACTATTGTGTTTTTTAAATGCTCATTACATTGCTTATTGTTAACAGATTCGGTATATTTCAGTGTGAGTGTTATTTGGTATTTGTGGTCCTTCATTTTTGTAAATTGTATTACTTGGTTTCCAATAGGGGTTATTTATACTCTAATCTGGTTTTATAGTTTATGAAACCAACATGAGGCCCGATTTGCTGATGTTGCTAGTCCTAAGCCTGAGTAAAGATGTTAGGTTGGGGTATTATGTCTTACAACTCGACCTCTTAAGAAAGAACTTTGCTGCAAAGTCACTATGTAGAAAAAATATTAAGACCGAACTTCGGATACCCTATATGTCGCCAAATTAGTCATTGGACTGAAATTGGGATTCATTAGAACCGGAATTCGGACGCTCAATTTAACACAGCTGTTATGGAGAAGGATTTTACTGGTTTGATAGACGATCTTTTGTTTATCAAAGTCATTGATCAGAATCCTTATCAATAAATGAAATGCAGTGATACAAAGTATGGTCGATTGGTGGTTATTCACGAGACCACATTATTGGCTTAAGCTTTTGTATAATTTGAAATAAAAAAGCATGACCATTAGCCAGAAGAATAGATTTTTCATATAATAAAATGACATGCTTATATACAACATAATCACACAAACAAAAGTGTTGTCATAAGGGGTTGGAGAAAATCAGTTTGTAAATCACTAATTTTGCAACCAATTAAGACCTGATTGTTAGGCCTAATTCTTGCCCGTCACGTCAACAGTTGACTAGCTTAGTAAACTGTAGTTTAACCCATTATATGTAGTATGTCATGATGTGGTGTTTTCCATTTTTAAATGTCACCGTCTTTTTTGATTAATAAGTGTTTTCCGGCTTTTAGGATGAAAATCTACTTGGCTTTCTTACTCATTGGATTTGGGGTGTTACTCTGTCACAGTGAAGCAATAATTAAACAATATTTACCAGCTGAACTTCTGTGTTCAGACATAAATTGTTTGAAAACCATAACTACTGGAAGTCTTATCAAAGATGTTAATGTACCGAATAAGAAAACATTAAAAGTGAATACCTTAGTGGACATAATAGGATTAAGCGCTGATGCTACTAATTCTATGATGAAAATAAAATTCGGCGAAGAACATTTATACATCGACCCAAGTTTTGTACAAATTAAGGATTCTGTTAGTTCACGCAAATTTTTAAAAGTGAAAAACTCCGATATAAATTTGAATCCTTCGACTCTATTAGACGAAAGAACACTTAATCTAGTGTCACCTTACCAACTACCATCGCATGAAGATTTGAATTACAAATCTACAGAGAAAATATCTGAGAAAGATCATCCAGATAACAAGCAAACACTTTTCCGCAATCAAAGACAGAGTAATGCTTATGATACTAGAGAAGGGACGAATGAAATTGATGAAATAAACGTGGTTAGTCGCAGAAGTTATGATCAAGTGAGCAAACAAGAAACTACATACAAGATAGATTCTGATGAAGTGGAACAAGATGACAAAATTGAGGAAGATAATGACGACAATGAGTTTGACTATAACAATTCATCTGAAATAAAACTTGGTGACGCGGATACCACTGACTATCCATCCGAATCACCCGGTGAACCTGTTTCTGTGAATCAACAACCGTCATCTGTTCAGTCACATCACGTTGAAATGAAGGTGTCTGGAACCGAACATGTGGAAAACCATGTACCGATACGACCACCGACTGTCTCACCTGATACTGATAAGGAGTTGAAGGAGGATGTTTCGAGTAGATCTGAACAGGGTGAACGTGTTTCTGTGAATCAACAACCGTCATCTGTTCAGCCACATCACGTTGAAATGAAGGTGTCTGGAACCGAACATATGGAAAACCATGTACCGATACGACCACCGACTGTCTCACCTGATACTGATAAGGAGTTGAAGGAGGATGTTTCGAGTAGATCTGAACAGGGTGAACGTGTTTCTGTGAATCATCAACCGTCATCTGTTCAGTCAAATCACGTTGAAATGAAGGTGTCTGGAACCGAACATGTGGAAAACCATGTACCGATACGACCACCGACTGTCTCACCTGATACTGATAAGGAGTTGAAGGAGGATGTTTCGAGTAGATCTGAACAGGGTGAACGTGTTTCTGTGAATCATCAACCGTCATCTGTTCAGCCACATCACGTTGAAATGAAGGTGTCTGGAACCGAACATGTGGAAAACCATGTACCGATACGACCACCGACTGTCTCACCTGATACTGATAAGGAGTTGAAGGAGGATGTTTCGAGTAGATCTGAACAGGGTGAACGTGTTTCTGTGAATCATCAACCGTCATCTGTTCAGTCAAATCACGTTGAAATGAAGGTGTCTGGAACCGAACATGTGGAAAACCATGTACCGATACGACCACCGACTGTCTCACCTGATACTGATAAGGAGTTGAAGGAGGATGTTTCGAGTAGATCTGAACAGGGTGAACGTGTTTCTGTGAATCAACAACCGTCATCTGTTCAGCCACATCACGTTGAAATGAAGGTGTCTGGAACCGAACATGTGGAAAACCATGTACCGATACGACCACCGACTGTCTCACCTGATACTGATAAGGAGTTGAAGGAGGATGTTTCGAGTAGATCTGAACAGGGTGAACGTGTTTCTGTGAATCAACAACCGTCATCTGTTCAGCCACATCACGTTGAAATGAAGGTGTCTGGAACCGAACATGTGGAAAACCATGTACCGATACGACCACCGACTGTCTCACCTGATACTGATAAGGAGTTGAAGGAGGATGTTTCGAGTAGATCTGAACAGGGTGAACGTGTTTCTGTGAATCAACAACCGTCATCTGTTCAGCCACATCACGTTGAAATGAAGGTGTCTGGAACCGAAAATGTGGAAAACCATGTACCGATACGACCACCGACTGTCTCACCTGATACTGATAAGGAGTTGAAGGAGGATGTTTCGAGTAGATCTGAACAGGGTGAACGTGTTTCTGTGAATCAACAACCGTCATCTGTTCAGCCACATCACGTTGAAATGAAGGTGTCTGGAACCGAACATGTGGAAAACCATGTACCGATACGACCACCGACTGTCTCATCTGATACTGATAAGGAGTTGAAGGAGGATGTTTCGAGTAGATCTGAACAGGGTGAACGTGTTTCTGTGAATCAACAACCGTCATCTGTTCAGCCACATCACGTTGAAATGAAGGTGTCTGGAACCGAACATGTGGAAAACCATGTACCGATACGACCACCGACTGTCTCATCTGATACTGATAAGGAGTTGAAGGAGGATGTTTCGAGTAGATCTGAACAGGGTGAACGTGTTTCTGTGAATCAACAACCGTCATCTGTTCAGCCACATCACGTTGAAATGAAGGTGTCTGGAACCGAACATGTGGAAAACCATGTACCGATACGACCACCGACTGTCTCACCTGATACTGATAAGGAGTTGAAGGAGGATGTTTCGAGTAGATCTGAACAGGGTGAACGTGTTTCTGTGAATCAACAACCGTCATCTGTTCAGCCACATCACGTTGAAATGAAGGTGTCTGGAACCGAACATATGGAAAACCATGTACCGATACGACCACCGACTGTCTCACCTGATACTGATAAGGAGTTGAAGGAGGATGTTTCGAGTAGATCTGAACAGGGTGAACGTGTTTCTGTGAATCAACAACCGTCATCTGTTCAGCCACATCACGTTGAAATGAAGGTGTCTGGAACCGAACATGTGGAAAACCATGTACCGATACGACCACCGACTGTCTCACCTGATACTGATAAGGAGTTGAAGGAGGATGTTTCGAGTAGATCTGAACAGGGTGAACGTGTTTCTGTGAATCATCAACCGTCATCTGTTCAGTCAAATCACGTTGAAATGAAGGTGTCTGGAACCGAACATGTGGAAAACCATGTACCGATACGACCACCGACTGTCTCACCTGATACTGATAAGGAGTTGAAGGAGGATGTTTCGAGTAGATCTGAACAGGGTGAACGTGTTTCTGTGAATCATCAACCGTCATCTGTTCAGCCACATCACGTTGAAATGAAGGTGTCTGGAACCGAACATGTGGAAAACCATGTACCGATACGACCACCGACTGTCTCACCTGATACTGATAAGGAGTTGAAGGAGGATGTTTCGAGTAGATCTGAACAGGGTGAACGTGTTTCTGTGAATCATCAACCGTCATCTGTTCAGCCACATCACGTTGAAATGAAGGTGTCTGGAACCGAACATGTGGAAAACCATGTACCGATACGACCACCGACTGTCTCACCTGATACTGATAAGGAGTTGAAGGAGGATGTTTCGAGTAGATCTGAACAGGGTGAACGTGTTTCTGTGAATCAACAACCGTCATCTGTTCAGCCACATCACGTTGAAATGAAGGTGTCTGGAACCGAACATGTGGAAAACCATGTACCGATACGACCACCGACTGTCTCACCTGATACTGATAAGGAGTCAAATGTGGATGTTTCACAAGTTTCATATTCCACCTCGTCAAGCGACCTTTTGGACAATGTTAATCATATAGAATCTAATATGTCAAATTCACATTTTTCATTGCATGATCGTAAACAAGGAGTCATCACCAGTGATCTCGTCGGTGTTCAAGATATTGGAATAATTTATTCTTCAGATGTAAATAGCTCTACTCTTTCATCCGTTTCACGAAAAATGTCTGAGGATCAAATTATTTTCGATCATCACAGTGTTCCCGTTCGCTTAGGTTTGATACAATGTATATACTGGGCAGCAAACGCTAGTTTTGATAAAACATATTCTAAAACTGTTAGATCACCTTTTTCGCGCTTCTTAGTCAATGGATTTAGGTACTTCTTTGCAGCTGCTAACGTTTCTCTGCAGTATTTACCAGAAAACATTATTTCCAATTTAGATAATTTTTTGCTTGAAACATTTTCTTTATCAGTAAATTTCATTATTGCTTGGATGATTTTTATATTTCACTTAATTTTTATGTGGAATCTAAGTAAAGGCGTACATTTCCTTCTATCTAAATACATCTTTTCTGAAAAATACACATCTCCATCTCTCGTAGAGTATCTAAAACTTGAGGAGTATAGCATTCAACTAGCTAGCCAACTTTCAGATACGGAAGAATCTAATTCTCATTTATCTAAATGGGCTAATTCACTTTCATCCAGTCTTCAAAATCTACAGGAAGAATATACTTCCAAATTATCTGAAATGACATTATCTATGGATGATTCACGGGAATCTTTCATACGTGCTCAATCGGAGTTGAATCATTTAAAAAATACTCATAATTCACTGGAACAAAACTTACGTTTGAAGTTAACTGATAAAGAAGAAGTCATTCATGAATTAAACTCAGAAATTAATCGTCTGAAACAATTACACTCTGAAAATGATGATAAATGGAAGAAAAGTCTTTTAGATCTAGAAGAAAGTAACCGTAAGTCAATAGAAGAATTGAAAGAGGAACAAGAACAGTTATATTCTCAAGCTAATTTATATTATAATCGCATGAAGACGATGCAATCAGAGGTCGACAAAATTTTAGAATCTAGAAAAGCATCTGAGGAAAAGTTACTGATTAAAGAAGCAGAATTTCAAAGTTTGCTTGCTACTTTTAATACGCTTAAAGGTCTTGAGGTGATTTTTGAACAGGAATCTTCCTCAAAACAGGAAACAAATGATATGGAAGAACGTGAAGTAACCACCACTGACAATCTATCTAATGTTAGTCGCACGTTAGAGGATGACGTGGAGATTAGCGATAAGTCAAGCATTATTTCCGAAAGTGCTTTGTGTGATTTAAATGAAGTCGATGAAAAGATTACAGAAAAATCTAGATTACAGAAGAATTTATCATTGCTCTTAGATGTTGGTCGTTTGCATGCTCAAATCAGACTTAAGGATGAACAAATTAAAGCTGAAGAGTCTAAAGCAAAAAATGAACATGATCTTCGAGTTGAAGTTGAATCCAAAATGGAAGAGATAGAAAGAGAGAATTCAGCCCTTAAAGCCAATTTAATTCATATTGAACAAGAAAGAAATGCTTATCAAACAAAGCTTGATATTTTATCCTGTTATTTTAAAGAACGTGAACTTGAACTGCAAAGGGATTTAGGTAAGCATGTCGTAGTTGGTTCAGAATCTTCCGAAGCCCTTATGCACAGTCGAAAGCGTAATCAAGAGCTTGAGGGGAAGTTAAAGTATTACGAGATCAAATGGCAGCTTTACGTCGAGAGCTAGTGGAAACTGAAAGAACTAGTAGGCGTCAAATATCGGAGTTAGATAAGCGTTCTCATGAAAATTGGTTAGCAGCTCGTGCGTCTGACCACCAAATTCAAGATCTACGTGAAGAAAACTTCAGTTTGCGACAAAAGCTCATTGAATCAGAGAACAATGCATTACGATCGTCAATGCGCACCATCCCGGAAAAAATAAATAGTTCATCTCGTGAGAAAATTATGAACATTTTCACAAGACCTATTTTACCACTAGAATTTATGAAAAATCCAAGCTTAAGAGATGTACGCTCTCAATCAAGGAATTCTCTAACAAATTTAACATCACAACGCCCAGTAGCAGAACCTAATCCATTCCCATTCATTTCAACACCACCCGAGGAACAATGCCTTTTTCAGGTGGACTTCAAAGAGATGTCATACCAACACCAACAAGGCCTCTTTTGCCAGGATTTCCTCCAGTGCAAATGAGTTTCCCGTCAGCATTTTTAGCTCCCCCATTCGCGCCCGTCATGAAAGCGATGACTGACCAAAATAATAAACAAAATAGTTCCCCTTCTTCTGTAAGCAGTTCACTAAAGTGATTTTAGATCTATAACGCTTTGTTCAGTATGTGGTTTTTCTTGCATTTTAATCTTCCGTTCTCTACGTTCCGATTGTTTCGTTGTGGTATCATTCTTTAGGTTATTTTGAATCAGGCTGTAAAGTGATAATATTTTTACATTTGGTCTTTTGTCCAGATATTATATTTCAGATTACATATATCAAGAATAATATTTTAAACATTAGTTGGTTATTGCACAAAAAAATCTTTTATTCTGTGTTCGTACTTACGAAAATGTTTCTGTTTGTTATTTATTACTCCGATATTACTTTATGTGTTTATACTGAACCATTTTTGTTTTTGGTGAATAATGGTTCTGGAGTCATTCGCTTTATTAAAGAAAATGTTCTAAATTAGTGAAAAGTATGTATTTTTGTCATTTCATTATCTATTGTCTACCAACTGTCCTAAAGTAATATTACTGAATTGTTTGAGTTCATTGAAAATAATTATTTGGTTTATATCTCAGTGATTAGTTTTAAATGTAATCGGGCATTTTCAAAGAAGATCGCTAATTACAGCGCTTAGCGATATTAGTTCACAATCTGGAAAAAATACCAGCCTTTTTTTCGAAATTTGACATTCTTGTCAGATACTAAGGAAATGAAAACTTTAATTATGTGTTGCTCATGGAAACTTGTCTTTAATACTCCGACCTGATACTCATTTAAACAATTAGTCGTGATAGCATGAACATGGCATTGACTCTATCTCTAATGTAGGAATTAAGGTAGTAAGTTTTCAAACCTTTCGTCTTACAGCTCCCGTTAATCTTATCAAATTCTTAAAATGGTAGTCAGATGTGTCACTCGTTTAATTGTCATTGTACTTATAGTTATTTCGACTAGTAATGAGAAATTTTACTGTCAATTTCATTTATTTTAACTGGCTTAACTTGTATTTTTTAGCTCATAAGAATTTAACTCGATGCTTAGTGTACGGAACTGAACGCTTGATTGCTAAGCCACATAGAAGTTTACTCGTTCCTTGAATAACTATGTTTTCATTTCGTCTTATCCCTTTCTAATATGTACAACTCGTGGACAATAGTCATTTCTTATGTTTGCAAAAATCTGTAACCTAATGTTTTCGGAAGGAATCTAATCTTTGATTTAAAGTCCTTGCCATAAAGTGTGATTGTGCTACAATTTAGCAAATATTTTGATGTATTTCAGACGATGTAAGAATAACGTCATTGTTTTGTTTTTTTAGTTAAGTCTTCATGAAGGATTCCTTTATGTATTCAATTTATCCAACATCAAGTTGCACCTTTTACTTTGTCCTGAAATTAGATGATGAAAACTAATAATTATACTCTGCTTTATTTATATTGCATGATTCGATTCACTACAGAAGGTGAATTTAAATTCTGCAAATAAGGCATTAACTTGATTAACTGTGGTTTGCACTAGTCTTTTAGTGATAATTTTTGTAAAGCATCGAGAGAAAGGCAAACATTATTGAGGGGGATCATATAAATGCAGAATAAACTGATGAATCCGTTCTTAAGTATTTTTGTGATTGTACAGAGATACTGATTAGTAGTAGGACAGTGGTGGTTGGTAACTTTTACTTAGCTATATAGCCTCACTGCTTGTTCCAAAATATCTTTTCATCTCTATCCATCGTCTATGTACTTTATCAAACAAAGTTATGTGTCAGAAATCCCTAAGAAAACTGGACTTACAATCAGATGATAATTTATACTTCCTTGTAATGCTCATTGATTATATATATAAGATATTCATAGGTTAACTAGCACTCAACCACAGGTATCTTTTAACTGTTGCTCGTGTATTTTTGGGCCATCAAGCGAGCCATGCCGAATTCAAACATAGGGTACAAGGTAAAGATGTCAAATAGGTTGACGAAGTAGTGGTACGTACCTCCAATCACCACCTACCTCAGTTCACGATGTTTACTGGGAAAGTAGTCTGGGAGAAATCTGCCGACAGCCAAATCAGGAAGTGGCACCAATCTGTGAAGTTACTGTCAGTCTAACTGAGCAATTATGGTATTCATTACAGTCGTGTTGAATTTGCATAAGTAGATACGCATTACAGAATACATGACCTGATAACATGTAACTCAAATCCACTAATTCTATTTCATTGGTTAATTTGTGCTATTAATATATATATCCTATTGCATACTTTGGTTGTTCGTCTATCTATCTGTTAATCATATTCCATGATAATGCTGACCTGTAAATATTTGACACACATTGACTAAAGTATACTGGACATTTTGGACTCATTTAAGTACTATACAGATTAGACCTGTCTAATCCAATCCCCGATATACTTAATCATGATACATTTAATGCCGATTCTACTTTCATTGTTTTTATAAATCCAATTACCTTACCGTTATAACTTGTCGTTTGAATGCTTATTGTCTTGGCTACTGTAATGCTACTTTTTGTATCTGGTCGTCGCTGATTGTTATGTCCGAAACGCTTATCACTTATACTCGGAACGAGGGACCTCTGCAATTCCCACGACGCGAAAGTAAGAACACAGACTGGTATAAGTGATGATTTATTAAACCCAAAATATGACGACGACAACAACTCTAGTAGAAAATACACCCATCTATATATTGATTGTACACCCATTTTGATTAATAATTAGGATGAAATCACATATATTAAAATAACTTAGAGTTATAACAAATCACATACTGAGCATAGTGCATGTCACTGGAATACAAGAATATCGTATATTATACAGAATAAAATATCATACGAGAAAAGGAAACAAATACTACATTGAGTAATCATTACATTGAACCAAAACGGAAGTAATATCTAACAAAACTCATTTTATGTAAATCAATTGAAAACTGACTTTCTTTCCATCATATCACCTACCAGGATGTCTAGTATTGGTGTTAATCCAGCACTATTATTTCAGCCCAGTCGTTTCCATTCAGTCCTATTACATTTCATTGTTTGTTATTACTGTGCATGTTAGTTAATTCAGTAACTTACTGGATTTATTCAACTTTGACCATTGAGTTAAATATAAAGACCATAAGAGACATGTGGTTAGGTGTAGACTATGTATTGATTGTTTGCGTGACTATAATAATCATTGATTAAAGACGACTGATGTGGCTCAAAATCGTATTGTATTGTAGTGACTACATAAAGCTTGCGTAAATATATCCGAACTTTTGGGTAGATATTAAAATTCAGACACTAAGTATTTACTATTTTACCTCTTGTTTGTGTCCTTGTCAAATATATTTATGCACACTTGACTTGAGCATATGTCTGTACAGTTATCAGTAATTCATCGCTTTACTGATTCATAGTATTTTTAGGTTTATATAAACGCTTATAACAAGTAATATTTTTGATAGAGGTAGCGTCTCTCCGCTTCGTATCTGTTCACTTTACACTCATAGTTTGTTTGCTCAGTTATAAATAATTGAAATATATTCTTCCTAAATACATTCCTGATTAACATGTTTTATTTCGTTAACAATTGTGTCATTTAGTTAGGTTGTGTGAGGGAAGTTAGTTAGTGAATTATATTTCATCATCGTCATCAACTGTGTAGCGAATTCAATCAACCAAACTCAAAATTATTGTATTTATTACCAGAATTTAATTATGTAATTCTTTATTAATACGTTCCATTCGCTAGTCTGTCACGAGAGATTGAGGTGAATAATAAAAGATTCAAGAATTTGGATAAGATATTTGAAGAACACGTATTTGAAGTCATTTTAATTTGCTTACATCAGATGAGTTTTAAGTGGGCTCCAAAGAATCCTTCAATAATTATATTCTGTTAGGCGCTTACGACGTACGGTTGTTAGACGATCCATTTCTAACTTAGTATTTAATTTGAAGTTAACCAAATGACAGTTTATCTAGAGAATTCGATTTCTGAATTAGGGTGGTTTATTTCTGGATACCCTGCCCTTCCCTCAACTATTTTAATTTTTATATACCAATCAAGCACACCACTTCGTACCATAAAATAGGAAACAACATCTACAAAATATTTAACAAGTGGCATAAACATCGACCAATAAGAAATGTACATTTAAGGTCCAAGGACACCATAGACTTAACACGATAATTATTGGTATATTTTTCCGACTATCCTAACATGAATCCTTGAAGCTACTCATTTTTGTGTAATACTCCCGTAAGAGTATTCAAAGAGCAACATTCTAGTTGTTCTTAAGCTGTCATAAGTTTTATCTCAGGAATTAATTGCATATGTGTATGGTGTTCTCGTGTGTTACGCTAGATCTGTTAGTGACTGGTATCAGTAATTTTTTATTTAGTGGTGTTGAGGAGGAGCTATTTTTTCAAGGAGAGAAAGCGCTGGTTGTTCGTTAACCTTAGGTCATTCTAAAATCAAATTTCTTTAGTTACTTCTTATTGTCAGTCTTGCAACTGACTTGTTTAAATGAGAAATTATAACGAATTTCCCATTGTTTTTTGAAAGTAATTTGATATTAGATGTATTGTAATTTATGTTAATTAGTTTTTGATGTGATATTTAACTTTTATTTCATAGTCTTTGATTAACCTCATAAAAGATGTATTTCTTTTCTACACTGTCAAATAGAAATGAACAAAGATGAATCTTATTCCACCGTATATCACTTCCAGCTTTTACACTTCTAAACACGTCACAAAAGCAAGGAAATCAATAAGAAGTAAATATTTTATGAGCAGATATTAGGTTGGAAATGAAAAAATAAAATATTGTTGAAAACAGTTCGCAAATTAAGTAGTGCAAACAATACAAAATAATTACTTGGTAAGCTATTATACACAAAACGATAAATTCTATCGAAAGTTGGAGCTATGATATTCTTAAGTGCAAAATAACATTGTTTATTGGGTAGACTAAAAAATCAATATATCTAGTAGGACTAATGAATAACATATGTATTAAAAGCAGTATTATGAACTTAGATTTTGATTAATCAATAATGACGGATCTACCCACGCAAGAATATTGTAACGGAATCGAAATCTCATGCTAGCACTTCTAGTTACTATTGTCGAATTATCTTCATCTCAAGCATGTGGTACTCCTGACTTTTGCTAGTATGGGGCCCTTCATTTAGATGTCAATTAGACTGGGAACCTCTCGATGTTTGTTGACGGGCTCTCCACTTTAATGACCAGGGATCTGGCTCCAATTTGACCGTATGAATGATTGTTATTGAAATATATATGTCGCCTGTCCTCGTATATAATAATCGACTTAAATCGCGTTAGTCAGTAACGAAATTAAAGATGTCAAATAACGAGAACGGACTTTTGAATACATATATTTTGTATATGAAGCGAATGGAACAGAGTGAAGCGAAACGACGCGCAGTGGAGACGTCGGTAAGCCAACCTCATTAGTCAAGCGTTAATCAATATTTATGGGTACACAAAAATAAGTTACAGACATGTGGTGAGTGGGATAAGAAATTACACACACAT